TGCACAGCAAGTAAGAAAGTGTGAGTGTGAAAGAGAGATGGAGAATAGAGGAGAAATAAAAAGAGATTGATGACTTTTTAAAAAGAAAAACGTCTGTAGTCATGACTTGAGCTCCCACAGCTGTGGCTCAGGCGGTAGAGCGGTTGACCTCTAATCCTCTAGGTTGGTAGTTCGATCCCTTCCACAGTCAAAGTGTCCTTGGGCAAGACACTGAACCTGAAGTTGCTCCAGATGGCAGGCAGCACCTTGCATGGCAGCTCTATGAATGTGTGTGAATGGGAAACACTGTAAAGCGCTTTAAGTAGCACTAAGATAGAAAGGAGCTACGCAAGTGCTGACCATTCACCACTTAATTCACATAATATACATTCAACTAACCCTCAATACTGTAAAGATGAAGAGACAAATGCTGACAGTCAGTGGTTCCCCTCATAAACCTCCAGTCATGAAAACCTGGCGTCTTCCTGCAGCTACAGCAGCTCAGGCCTGGCTGAGTCCAAGCAAGGAGGGGAAGGAGGTTTGAGGCCCGTCATTCCTGGCATCGCTACTGTTTGCTCAGTCATTACAGAGAGGGTAGCGTGGGGCGAATGTGAGCCCTTCATGAATATGTATTCAGGCACCTGGAGAGCAGGCATTAGCATACGGGGGGGAGGGAGAAGGGGGGAGAGGAGGGTAGGGCAGGTACTCACTTGATGACGGGCGTGTGAAGGCTGTGAAGGCGGCAGTACAGCCTGACGCCCTGAAAGAAGAAAAAAAAACACAGAGCGGCTGACTCATAGCTCACACACACACCTTAGGTAACCAAGAACAAGAACAGATTTAACTGTTGACTATGAAAAGAGTTGCCCCCAGGCTATCGTTTTAGGACAGAAATTTCCAGATCGTAGTCTCTAAATGGGGCCTAAGAACAAATGTAGGCCAACGTAACCACCCTCAAGTATTTTTAACTTTTACGTCCTTTTTGGAATTTAGCTTCTGGCTGCGTTTTCTATGGAAATGGATTAGTGCCTTTAGAGGTTGAATCTGAACATTTGCATAAAATTGTACATGAGTTTTAAAAAGTTAGATATTGAATGTTTATGTCAGTCATCCAGGTCCTGGTAATCCTGAAGGCTTTTGTAATAAGACACTCTTAGATGAGACGTTAAATGTCTTCAAGTACCAAACAGAGACACCCAGTTGTTTTCTACTGAAGCTTTTAGGGTTATATATTGATTATATTTATTCAGAAGGTACCTTGATGTAAATGACAAGCTTGTTAAATCCAGCTGCATTCAGTAAATCATTAATGTGCATCTTACTGCTAACAGTGGGAACACACCTGGATTTAACTTCTGCTTTTCTATGAATCTCTTTGTTAACACGGCCACTAAAATCTTAAATGATGCCACATTCTAACCTGCAGTTTATGCAGAACTGAAGCAGGATTGTACATTCAGAGCTCAGACTTTAAACTGGTTTAGGTTTTTCTTATATAGCAGCGATGATGACATCCAGAAGCAGAGCGATAGTTACCTTCGACATGATGTCCTCCATCTCACTGCGAGCTTTGTAGGTGCCGTCGTCGTAGCGGAAACGGTACAAGACCTGCTCATTCTTGAACTGGTGCTTATCCGACACTGAAATATCACCAGAAGGAGGAAAACGTTACCTTCTTCTGTTTGAATACTAACATCACTGTCCTCCTTTCCTCACTGCAGACTGTCTGAGACAAATAAATAATAATCTGCTCTCTTTCTTTAGGACATGACGAGTTGACCTTTGCCACTGATGGATTCACATATCAAAGGTTGAGGAGCTGTAAATATAAATGTGTATATACAACACATGCATATGGACTGAAATCAGTTTTGTTTTCATCTTTCCAAGGATGCATTGCTGGCATATGGTTGAGCCAATATGATTTCTGTTATAAATGACTCAGTATTTGCTGTCCGATGTGAAGTTTGTTTGTATCAGGGACTACAGAGCTTCAGGTTTGGAATATATTCTGTTGTCAAGTCTTTTCTTTTTTCCCACATGTACTCTTCTGCTGAGGGAATTGCAGTAAGTACAGAAACAAGGCAAGAAGCAACAACCAAGTGTCAGGGGGAAAACTGCAGCTGTAGATTTATGTCTGTGTTGGGTAAAAAACAATTACATTCAAATATTTAACAGAGCAGACAGCTGCCAATTCCCAGAAAACCCCCCAACTTACGAAGATAAACACAAAACTTCTAAAAACAAGTTGTCATATATATATATATATGTACTACACAGAAAATGGAAAATGACGAACACATCCGCAGGTCACAGAAGCCAGCGGTACAATCTGCCAAACAGAGGCAGTTCTGTTTCACCACAACAAGTTGGCACAGACTCAAACAAGCTGCTGGTTTTCTCAGTCTAGACTTAAAATGCCCTCATAAAACACAACAGGAATGCACCACAAAATCTGTCACTGCAAAGTGTCAAGTGTGGGATTTGAAGTGCATGAAATGATAGCTGAGTTATGACGGGAGCGAAGGAGATGTCAAAAGCGCTAACGTTCAAGCGTGAGCTGGCGTTTTGACGCGGCTCAGACATGCACGGGGTTCTCTGTCGCTCTGCACAACATGAACGCTTTATTCAACAGCAGTAGATGGACGCTCATCCCTCTGCTGTCTGATTTTAAGTGGTGACACCTACGTTGTGCCTGCAGGGCCCAACCTCTCCAGTTAGACCACAAAGCCTGACTTCTATCCAACAGAACCCAACATGTCATCAATGTATGTCTCTGCGGTTGGAGGCAGGAGTTCTGGGAATTTTCCAAAAGGTATGAAGAAACATGAACACTGGGTCCCAGCAGAGTCCCTGAATGCGGTGCGTAAAAATTATGAGTTTGTACTTAACATGCACGACAGCCCCTCCAGCGAGATCCTCAACTACTGTGTTCATGCATTATTTAGACGTGTGTGTGTGTGTCTGTGTGTGTGAGTGTGTGTGGTGGACCTGTGAGCGTCACACTAAAGACAAAATCAATGAAAGTTCATAAGAATGAGAGCAAAAAGCCTGACATCGAGCATCAAAATGTGAGTGAAAGTATGCAGGTACTCAGCAGAGGAGAGGGTGTGTTGTTGTCTCACCATGGTGAATGATGCCGTTTTCCAGTAAGGCTTGTCCCAGGTTGACCCCTTCGTCAGGTTTGCTGATCTCCCCGCTCTCTAGCAGCCACGACACAAACTCACTGAGGACACAAGAAGAAGGAGAACGGATGAGGCCGGGTATCTTAGAGTGATAATCTGTTTTGTTTTGGGATTTTAGGATTTGTCTCCATTTCAGGGCTCTTGTAGGATGGACTCTTACAGATGTGCACTATGGGCGCCACTTTACTGCTTCATGTTTTAAACTCTGTCCATAAGGCTGGCATTATGTTCAGAGGCAGCACAGCAGCAGCACCTCTGCTCTCTGAAACCCATTATCTACAGCAGTGCAGTGATGGTTTTGTGCTGGAAGCTCAACCCGCCATCAAGAGTCTGGATTCCCTGAAATATATCACACAAGTTTGGGATGGAAGCAGGATTATATCTAGGTAGACATTTCAGGTGCGTTAATTTCATTATACATGCTCAACGGTTTTAACATTAGGCAGCTGTTTGTAGGTTGGCAGCACATGTACACAGAGATGAGGTTTAGTTCCTGTTCCTATCAATAGATAACAGACCTATTTAAGTTTCTTAATTAGATTAATGATGTAAAGAGTTTTCATGGTGAATGACAATTTTAAAAACTGAACCCAGTGGCAAAACTTGAAAGGGCCTTTATGTTCATGGCTCATTGAAATCCTTAAAAGCACTCTCAGCGAATATGACAGACACATGTAAAGAAATATTTTGCCAATCATTAATTTAATTTGAATGTATTAATCATAGGTGTTTTTAGCTATAATATCCATGTCTATGTGAGATGTTCTGGTGTCTCTTCACGTGCAGGTCACTTCGCTGCAGCTCTTTTTTTTTTACTTTGGTTAAGCAAAATGACTTTTTATTGTTTATTGCAAACACAGAAGTTTACTACTGAGGAAATACAACCATGTGAAGCTGAGTGTTGGCTGAGTGGCAGCACTGGTCACGGTGATAAAGGCTCTACAAAGATGGCAGGTAACGATTGAGGAGGTGATCTTTAAAATAAGGTTTAGTATGTTGCAGGTGCTGCAGTATGTATATACTTCTAGCCATGGTTGTGCTGTTTCCATGGAGGTGCAGAAGCTAATACTGCAGTAAAAAAAATGACCCTACAGACGATGAATGTGTGACAGAAAACATCCACCCAGACATTGCTTGGGGTTCAGAGGTTTAACTGTTTAACAGACGTAACTGCATCTCTTCCCACCACTTGACTGGTAGTTTCATAACAACACAGAAGCATGAGGACACGGCGTACTTTACATCCCTATGATGACGAGGCAACCAGAAATTACCCAGTAAGAAGATATAAAGTGTGTTAAGAGTGGCCATTTTGCAGCGTAGACAGCAGACAGTTGATGTAATTAGGCTATCAAGACAACAGGGTGCTATCACACTGGCAGCAGCATCTCGGTTTAATGCAATAAGCTCTCAAACTATGGCTGCCGCTAATTTCATCACAAAGACAAATGCAGAGCTAATGCAGGTTTGCACTCATCGGCAGGAAACGAATGAGTGATAAAGTGAGGAAAATGGGAGATGGTAGAAGACGGGCCTGACTGATGCCACGGCGATGAGGCAAAAAGAAGAAAGTAAAGAAAAGAACAAAAACTGGAATGTGAACGAGCTCCTGCTGTGATGTTTGACCTGCACGGATACAGAGACGATTACTGGCCTGTGAGGACAGTAAGAACACAGAAGAAGCTCTGACAGGAAAGATGATTATTGAATGCTGATGTTTGCAGCACGGCAGAATGAAACTCCCAGAAGGCCTCAGCATCCAGACCGACGTCGTATCAAGAGAGGAAAAACGCACAGACGAGGACTTTACATGACGCCACAGAGACAGAGAGTCTCTCAGTACAACTATCACATTTCTAAGCAGATCACTAAACTCACTTCTGGGCAGTGTGGCTGATGCGATAGCAGCCTGTTATTGTCTCCTGCATTTAATTCCAGAAGAAACCGTTTTACATGAGGGATGCATTTAACGATGTGAATACACTGAGAGGCAGCGGCGCAGCGACTAATGGCTGCTCCCTGGTTTCTCTTTACAGGACCAGTCATCGGTCCCCATCGTAGCCTGCCTACTTTTATTTTCTGTTTCCCCAAGACGGTGCCAGAAAGAATTTTAATTGCTGCTCAGGATCTCACAAACACTGGTGTGTACGCAGAGGGACGGAGGGAAACTTAAGCAAGCCTCTCATTGTCTATTCCCCACACTGTAACATCAAGGGGAGGTGGAGGGGGACTGGCCTGTTTAAGAGACTCATTAGGGTGTTCTGCTAATCAAAGTCTTGGTGTGTCAGTGTGTGCTGGATGATATGAGGGTCTGGGGAGCAGCCTGGCCCTTTCTCTAACCCGTGAGAGGAGACTCTGAGGGGGCCTCATTACAGACAAGAGGACGTAGGGATAAAACGGTTCAGGCATTCTGCCAGGACTCGGGGAGACTAGATACCAGCTCTTTGGAAAGTCTGCTGATCTTACATAACAACCATTTGTAAGGATCCCCATGTGAACAGCACAGCAGCCACATTCTTGGAACCTGGAAAAATCCGGCGCAGAGGAAGTAAAGAAACTCACTTTCCCATGAAGCACTTGGGGACAATGCTGAGCTTCCTGCGCCTGTCCTTAATCAGGTGGCGACTCTTGGTCATCATCATGTGGTAGAGCTTCTCGCCCTTCTCTGCTATCATCACGTAGGCGTCCCGCTCCATCCCCAGCTTGAGACCTGAAAACAAGAGAAAAACAAGCCGGGAGTCAGTTTTAACGCAGCGCCCGTCAGCGAAGCAAGACCGTGTTGGTGTGAGTGTTGATAAAAAGAAAAATGTGGGAAAGGAAATGAATGAACAATCAAAATCTCAGCCAAAGAAAATACAGCAGATGTGTAGAAGAACAGAAACTTCAGCTTGCTTTCCAAGGCTATCTACACGTATCAAAGCCACGTTCTGCTGCTGTTGGAGGAGACAAACGGGCCTTTGCTTGGACGGAGCGGTGGCGTTCTGGTATTGTGCAGATGGCGCGTAGCCAGAAACACAGCACGGCAACTTGGGTCTCCGACAACCTTCTGAAACAAGCCCCAGATATTAATCTCTGCTAGACAAGTTCAGGAGGGCAGTGCGATCTTAATCTTGCTTCTGTGTCAATTTGTTAGCAGTTATTCCTCTATTGTAGCGCAGAACATGTGAGGGCCCATTGTAAGGCCTGCTGGCCCAGTAAGACCTCTTCAGCGGACACACTGTTGGAGCTGCTTAACCTCATCGTGGGGTTTGATGAACTTCTGAACTGCACTGTGAGACTTTCTGACTCGGGCGACTCGGCTCCGCTGCACTGTGGCTCCCTAATCTGCTTAACTCTACTGAGGCGCTCATAAAGCTGCTCAACTCCACTAGAAAGTGCTCCGTTTTACAAGTAGAAAGTACATATTTTGTATTTGTTAAGCCTAGAAAGAAAAAAAAAATCTAGCCTTGGGAGAGATCCGTGCGTTCTCTCAGGGCCGTGACACGCTCAGTAAGCAGGTGGGTGGCTAACAGGCTAACGAGCACTGCTAAAGAAAGACATCCATCCATCATCTATACACCGCTTAATCCTCACGAGGGTCGCAGGGGGCTGGACTTAGGGCGAAGGGTCGCCAGTCTACCGCAGGGCTACACTTAGAGACAGACAACCAAGCACACTCACATTCACACCTACAGACAATTTACAATCACCAATTAACCTCAGCATGTTTCTGGACTGTGGGAGGAAGCCGGAGAACCCGGAGAGAACCCACACTGCACGGGGAGAACATGGAGACTCCACGCAGAAAGATCCCGGGTGTCCTCACCGGGACGCAAACCGGCGACCTTCTAGCTGCGAGGCGACAGTGCTAACCAACTATGCCACCTTGTAGCCCTAAAGAAAGACATCTTTAATTTCACTTAGTGTTATTTTTCCTTCTCTTGTTGCCCTTTTAAAATTCCAGTTAAGACGTTTTTTTTAAACGATTTACAATCACTGCAGCAGCTTATCTTATTTTCTTTAGTCGTTAACTTGCTGAACTCTAAACCCACCAGCAGCTTTGAGAGAAATAAATATAAAAACTGAGCCTGAAAACTTCAGGAGTGATGTTTAGAAATTGCTTGACTATGTTTAATATGAAGCCTGATATTTGAGGGCTCTCTGTGGCGTCCAGTGCAAACTATGCAATGTTAATGACAGCTGTTAACTTTTAAAATGCATCATGCAGGTAGACTTAAAGTTGAGTTCAACTAAGGGGGGGTGGGACCACCAGTGTAAAGGGTTACACCGCTTATTCTTGAATCCAATTTTCCCATTGAGCGTTTGGGCTCTGGACTGGCAGCCTGTGATGGAGCAGGGTTAGATTACATTTGGCAGCAGCTGGACTGGACTTAAACAATGAGTGTCATTGAACAACAGACGGGGCCTGTCCAGCGGAGAAGCCCCCACAGCTTCTGGTCCAGCTGTCAGAGTTTGTCTTGTGATGCTCCTCATCTTCCTGGCACGAGATAAAAAAAACCCTATCCCACTATTTGACCCATGCATTTTCCCTAGACTTCCATAAAAAACAGGACACAACACCTCCAGCTGGCAGCTAGCGGACAATGGGAGTCTTTGGGAGAGTTGAGGGAAGCCACATGTCCAACGCACAGAGGAAAGTCACATTAATAAGCAATAACTAATGCAGCATGTCAGGAAAACTTGCATGCAGGGCAAGAAGTCAGAAGAATCATCGGTAAGAGTTTATTACATAAAATGTTGTGTTGCTGTCTAGACGGGAGTAAAGAAGTTGAGAGAAAGGTAAGCATGCTGCAAGCTGAGCACACTGTGGAGAGGCTGATAGAAGGGGAGAGAGCGAGGAAATTAGGCACTGTGACTGATCTGGCATCTGTTAGCCTCAGGTCGATTTCCGCCGTGTTGAAACTCAATACCACAAGCTGCAGCACACTCCTCCGTATGCGCTGATAACATCAAACTCTGCTGCAAACACTCACTCAAGCAAAGGTCCAACTTACAAATCCAATTGTTTTTAAAAAGCTAATATGTACACCGACGGTGGCTGAGCGGCAGACGGCTGATCCTTAAAGCCTTTAGACAAATCATGTTCCAGTAGCTTTGGGGTTCCAGTTTAGGTTTTAGCCTTCAATGCTATCAGGTGGCCCGTTATGGACCAAAGCTGGTCGAAGTCTTTCACACCGTCTAATGCGCAGAATGCAACTAAGACAGATGGTCAGTGCACAACAGGTGGGAACACATTTTGAGGGGAAAAAGAAGGAAGTTGAGAAGAAAACAAGCACAGAAGAAACAATAATATCAGTTTACATCACTAATTTAAAATTAGTGCAAGTGGTGCTGCAGCTTCGTTTCACCAGTAATGAACGAGGAACGTCTCACGGTTCCACCTTCTGGGTCAGACTGCATACAGATTGATTCTCTGCACATGAATCCAAATCATTTTCTAAAAGAAACTTCGGTATATGACTGCAAAACAGCTGAACTTGTGGTCCAATCAAGACAAAACATTTTTATTGCAGCTAAAAAAAAGATCCAGATGAATTAATGCGGTGTGTGACCAAGATACCGTGTTCAGCATCTCTGTTGTTTGTGAATGACACATTCAGTTTATAGCATTTGCTGCAGATCTTTCTGCTAAACCTGGATTGATGCAGCAGCTCCTACTGCGGGCTCAACCAGGGGAACCACACACATCATTCCACCTCAGCATCTATTTTATAAACACAGGCGGGCAGCTGGTCCAAGGTGGGACGTAGCTGCGGGACACAAACACTGCATCCAGGTCATAAGTACATCCACAGTCATTACTGTGCGCCAACTGAGGGGCTTTGATGGTTTGAGCATCTAAGGTGACGCCAACATTCACCAGCAGAAGCCTCACGACTGCATGACTACAAAAATCATATCAAAAGTGGCTCCCATGGAACGTGTTTCAGAGGCAGTGTTTGGGAGTAACAGCTAAATGCTGCAACAAGACAAACATAGCAGGAGAAAAAACACAATGGTGGCTGTGTTCCACTTGTAGAAGGTTCTGCTGTTGTGCATGCTGAATCACTGAAACAGCCTGGGACACTACAACCGAGTTAATCCCTCTCCAGCTGTAGATTTTACCCCTAACAACTCATCTCTGGGTATTAAAGTGACACATTTAGAATTTTGTTTCCCATGAAAATGCTCCTTCCCCATGGTACAGAGCTAAATGGTAAAAGTCTGCATTATTGGAAACCCTACACCTCATAGATATAAACACACAAAGATTTACAAAAAAAAGATGGAGATGAAAACAAAAACAATATTTCATATCAGGAAAACAATCAGTAGTTGGAGGGAAGCAGAAGGCAATCCTGAAGTTCACACAATAAATGTGAGTAACCCACCAAGGACGGCTGAAACTGGGAGGTTGTCCTTGTAAAATGTCTTTGCACAGCGTTACTTACTCTCTCTCTGCTCCCGTTCCCTCAGGATGGCGTCCAGCCACTTCTGCTTGTCCTCTGCGTTTTTGGCCATGCAGACAAACCACTTGTTTTTAGCCGTGTTGTGGATCTTCCAGCCATTAGTCACTGTGTAGTTGTTGCTGTGATAGTCGGCTGAAAGGCAAAAAGATAAGTATTTTAAAAAAGGGAGGGTCATGATGAGCATTAATAGACACTTTTGGACTGAGGTGTCTTAGCCGTTGATGTCTATCAGCAGTCTTTAAGATAAGATAAGATAAGATATGCCTTTATTTATCTCACAAGGAGAAATTCACATCGTTGACAGCAGCTTTCAACAGATGTACACAGATACGACACAGGAAAAAACAAAAAATAAAAACAAACGGTCTGTTTAACCCTCAGAGTCCAAAGCAGTTTTGGCTCTTTTTTTAGTCACTGTGGGCTCATTTTTCACTGCAATATAAAGTTCTGAAACCTCAGTGGAAGCAGCACAACCATGGCTAGAAGCAGCAAAAAAAAAAAAGTCTTTTGTCCAGTATTGCAAAGTTAAAATGCCACTAATTTGAAAACAAAAAAAATCGAGGAGGGAAAAAAAGTTGGAATTTCATTGATTGTTCATTCAAAAAAAGAAAAATGAATCAACATGTACAACATTGTAGGTGCCCACACAAATACTGGAGGGCAGAGCTCTACATACTGTAGATACTTTGCATTTGTGGTTTGTTTCTACACTCACACCTATTTTCAGTGCAGAAACATTTCAGCCAAAAGAGTTTTAGTGACGTGACTGTGGTTCATTGTGGCTGCAGGGCTGTGACAAGGAGAACAGGATTTGTTGTATTAAACCACACACGGTTCTGGTAATGGGTTGATTTGAAGCATTTTTTAATTGCAGAATAAACTGATGATAATGACACATCCTGATGTTGCCTAGATTTGGGTTAATCTCTTCCTAAATGACAGTTTCTTGCTCTAAAAACATCAAAGTAATCTTTTCCAGATCTCTGATGTCGCGTCCTACAAGCCCATCAGTTGATTTTGGGGTTCAGAGGGTTAAAACAAAAGGCTCTGCGTTGAGGTCGAGCTTCTTCTCTTGTTCTCATGTTTTTTATGTTGAGAACACAAGACGAAAACCACACACACTCAGAGACACACACGTACACACTGACCTTAGCAGTAAGTAAAGGAAGTAAAAAAGTATGTAATCAAATCAGACTTATAGCGATGTTAACATTAAAGTTACCTCGAAATAGAATTTATGACTTGAGGAATGACTTGCAAGCCAATTAAGAAGATACACATGATGCACGATAAGAGCAGTAAAAGACCGTCGTTTCACTGACTCATCAAAATCTCTGCTCTTACCTCTTTCTAATTTTATCATCCATTTAGCTGCAGGTGAGCAGCTACTGAATAATGAATGGCTACTGGTAATGGGGTGCATTAGTCTCACGCTCAAAGGTCATATAAATAGATCTGATACTTCAGGGAGCTGTTCTGGGAGAGCAAGGAGTGTGTTGAGACACACATATGCTGCTGTTCCGTGCGTCGCTTTAACCACCGGGACGGTCTGCATTCTGAATATTCACACATGCATGCATTTTCAATGTGGGACCCCTCAGTTCTGCGAAAAAGGCATGTTTTTCTTTGTGGTTTCCCTTTCAGCAGCCTGAGTGTGACAGCAAAGCAGCCAACATGCAGAAAAGAAGGTCATGTGAGCTTGCAAAAAATTCTGCCAGTACAGAAGAGAGAGAGAGAGAGAAAAAAAAAAAGAGGAAACATGTGAGAGGGCGAAAGAGCAAGTGTTTCTACACCAGCGGACAATGCGTACCGAGCCCAGCGCTGTACCTCGCAACAAACCGCAAAAGCAAACTGAGCGGAGTGACGAACACGCGAGCCCACAGACGAGTTGTTAATCTTTGGCAAAACATTTTCACCGATGTCAAGTGTATCACCTAGCTCGAGGCTGCTTTTGCACGTTTACTCAATCGCTGACATCAAAAGGTGGTACGCGAGGCTGCGAGCTACATCCTGTTTGAAACTAGGTACAAGTACAACACCCCACCCAAACTGTCAACAAGTACCTGATTCATATCTAACCAACAGTTTTCTCAACTAAAACGTCAAATGAAAAGTGAGCACTTCATGCAAATTCAAAGTTTCAGTTCATGCCGTTGTCTGCATTAACTGATATATCAAATTAAATAAATCAAGGAGAAATAGCCAGGCTCACGAGGAATGCTGAAGCAAATGTCCCAGTGGAGTAAATGAATGGACATAAAGATAGTCTCCAGAGGCTGCTGTGCAAACACAAACCTGTTCCATCTTCAACATTTTCCACCTCCATCACCTCGGTGTTGATTCGGCCTCTGAACACATAGAGAGGCCCGTTGATAGACTTGGTCCTCTTGGTGGACTTCTTTCCAGAAACCCTAGGAAAAGCGACAACACTGCGGTCAGCAGGGAAAACATCCGCTGATGCCAGTGGCACCAGAAGAAAAGAACTTGTGTCTGTAACAAATGCACATTCACACAGATGCAGGTGCTGGAGCAGCACACACGTGTAGGTGTTTTTGTTTTACTTGCTTACTAATAATGTGTCTGCACGAACAGAAATGTGGACATTAAACCTAGTTTTCCATGCCTGGCCTCCTTCCATTAGTCAGTCAGTAAAAATGGGTTTGAATGCTTTCTTGTTCCTTCTAGTTTGGCTAGATGTTTTGGTGGCGACTGTCTAGTGGTTGGGATGCTGCATTTCTCACCTGGACTTCCTTTTACAGTAAACCAAGAGGTTGTCAAAGAGGAAGAAGACGCGCTCCTGGATATTGCCTGCTGAGATTTTAAGGAGATTTCCATGGAGCAGCAACTCTGTGCAGATGTCTGTCAGGTTGGTTCCCTGAAGAACAAAAAATATAAGGATTAAATTATGTACTTCACAAAACAGTCTTCATGTGCAGCAGCCATAGTTATTTTATTTGGGCATGGCTTAGAAACACTTTCAGTCACAGGATTATCAGTCAAAGTTAAAGTCACACAGAAAACATGGTTGTATAAAAATGTACAGAGTTCACAATCTCATTCACACTATATGAAATTCAACTGTGACATTGTGAACAATATGTTTTCATTGCATCACCAATATGAGGCGGACGTGTACGCAGCAGTGCCCCACCCAACCCTGCCTTATGTTATGCAGTGCAAAACTGCAAAACTATTAACTCTCTGAACCCCAAAGTCCACTGGCAGGTTTGAAAGGCTTTTTTCTTTTCTTTTTAATTCACCAAAATTGCACCATCTATTACAGCAAGAAACAGAAAGAACTGTCAGAGTTTTGTGAGCAACAACACACACCTCAGCCTAAAACCAACATTACTTTGTTGTACGTATCTCAGTTTAAATCTTGCAAAAAAAATTGAAGTTTTTGCACTAAACAAATTTGGTTAAAAAAGTAAATATTCCGCGCTCCTTGTTGCAGTCAAGAAGCTATTACTGACTCAGCTGCAACAAGGAAATCACATGACAAAACTTCTGGGGCTTTTCAGCTTAACTGCAGGCTGTGTTTACACAGAGCAGATGGGAGAAAAGGATGGACATCCTTACGAGTAAATAATTTATAGGATGTAGAGGAACCACCCATCCATCCATCCATCCATCCATCCATTTCCTTCCGCTTATCTGGGGTCGGGTCACGGGGCCAGCAGACGAAGCAGTTCATTCCAGACATCCCTCCCCCCAGCAATGCTTTCCAGTTCTTCCTGGGGGATCTCGAGATGTTTCCAGCTCAGCTGAAAAATATAATCCCTCCAGTGGGTTCTTGGTCTAACCCAGCGTCCTGCTAAGCGGACGTGTTGGGAAAACCTCCAAGGAAAGAAGGAAGTCTCCCCGTAGGCATCTGAATCAGATGTCCAAACCACCTCAACTGGCTCCTATTGACACAAAGGAGCAGTGGCTCTCCTCTGAGCTCTCTCCAGATGTCTGAGCTTCTCACCCTATCTCTAAGGTAGAGCCCAGAAACCCTACGGAGGAAGCTCATTTTGGCCGCTTGGACTCACAATCTCATTCTTTTGTCACTACCCAAAGGTCATAACCACAAGTGAGGGTTGGGACATAGATGAACTGGTAAATCGAGAGCTTTGCCTTATGGCTAAGCTCCCTGGTCCCCACAACAGTCCGGTACAATGCCTGCATTACTGCTGACACCACACCAACCCACCTGCCCATCTCACACTCCATTTGCCCATCACTTGTGAACAAGATCCCTAGATACTTGAATTCCCTCGCTTGGGGAAGCAACTCCCCCCCATCCCGGAGTGAGCAATCCACCGGTTTCCGGCAGAGAACCATGGCCTTGGACTTGGAGGTGCTGACTCACGTCCCTGCTGCTTTACACTCAGCTGCAAAACACTCCAGTGCGTGATGAAGGTCACGGTCTGATAAAGCCAACAGTATCACATGATCTGCAAAAAGCAGAGACACCAACTGAGGCACCCAAACCAGACACCCTCCTCACTCCGGCTGCACCTAGAGATCCTGTCCATGAACACCACAAACAGGATCAGAGACAAGGGGCGGCCCTGGCGGAGTCCAACACCCACTGGAACGTTTCCGACTTTGTGCCGAGAATGTGGACACAACTCTCACTTTGGTTGTACAGGGACCAAATGGCTTATATCAGTAAGCTCAGTACCCCATACTCCCACAGTATCCCTCACAGAGCCCCTCGGAGGACACAGTCAAAGGCCTCCTCCAGACTGTGGACTTGCTGGTTGAACTCCCATGCCCATCTCAGCTGCTCCACAAGGATAAAGAGGATGGAATCTGCATTGCTCCTCCAGAATCTGAGGTTCAACAATCGATCGGAGCCTCCTTTCCAGCACCCTAGAGTAAACTTTTCCATGAAGGCTGTGAAGTGTGATACCCCAGTAGTTGGCACAGACTCTCCGGTCCCCCTTTTTGTAAAAGCGAACCACCACCCCGGTTTGCCACTCCACAGGCACCGTACCCAATGCCCATGCGACATACAAGAGATGTGTCAGCCAAGACAGTCCAACAGCGTCCAGAGCCTTCAGCATCTGTTGCCAACACGACAGGCACCAGTGACCTTATGGCTGCAGTTCCTAACAGCCGCTTCTGCAATGGAGGCTTTGAACATGGCCCACTCCGACTCCATGTCCCCAGCCTCCCCCGGGATGTAGGAGAAACTCTTCCAGAGGTGGGAGTTGAAAACCCCTCTCTGCCAGATGTTCCCAGCTCACCCTCACTAAATGTTTGGATTTACCAGGTCGGTCCGGCATCAGATCCACCTGGTGATCAGGTGACAGCTCTGCTCCTCTCAATACCCGAGTGTCCAAGACATACGGCCGCAGATCTGATGACACAACTACATAGACAATCACTGGCCTTTGGCAGAAGGTGCTCTGGTACCAAGTACACTTATGATCTACCTAATGCTCGAACATGGTGTTTGTTATGGCCAGACTATGACTAGCATATAAGTCCAACAACACAACACCCCCCACCCCAGGCCTGGCTCCAGAAGGAGGCCCCAGTTTCTCTGACCTGGGCGAGGTTTCTTGTATTGAGGTTCTATCGAGGTTAAGTGAGTAGAGTAACCATTTTACCATGATTGCTATTACATGTGGGCACTTGGAAAAATGTTGTGTACAATGATTCCAGTTTTTTTGTTGGTTTTTTGTTTAATAAAATAAATATTTAAAGAAATTCAACGTTCACTGTATTTCTTTTTTATTATTGAGTTTCGTCTTCTTCTAGTCCTTTCACCTTGGCCTACATGTGTTTTCCTGTGAAACAAAGCCTTGTCAATCTCTTCTCAGGACGTAAACACATGCATACACTACACATACATACCTGCATCCCTAAACGTAAAACTACAGCTGTATGTACATAAAACAAGGAGATTAGTCATGACAAAGTGCAGAGTACAGACTGCAGTGAAATCTGACCAAATGCACAAGAGGAAAATTTCCAATTTGTCCTGTAAAAGCCTCGTCAACTCCAGTGCACTTATTCAGAAGGATGTATTGTGTTACTTTGCAACCTATCTTCACAGAATGAGATCAGGCTTTAAACAATAGCCTCTTCTTGTCTGCTATGAAACACACGACAACCTATTAAGACTGAAACAACCTTTTCTCTTTATGAAACAGCACAAAGGTCAGTGAAACCTTCAATCATGTCAGTCGTTTCTACTTTCAACATTTAATGCCACATTTGTGAATGACGTGAATTGTCTGATTTATATTAATCATCAAAGATCATGTGTGCCTCAGTTATTCGCTCCATTTTTAAAAGTTTTACTTAAATTTAGAAAAGCGACTAAATTAACCTTTTGGTCTTTATTTGCGAGGTTGTTAACATCAATCTGGAACTGTTGAGATGCCTTCTTGATTGACCACAGCACGGTCTAATTAACCTTTCCACAAAGCAGCTGTGTTTTAAGGACCAATCTTTTGGCTGCATTATTTTTAGAAAATCATTTTCAGTGTTTTCACATTTTCAACTGGGGAACTGAAACCGATTCACAGATACAGACGTATGCATGTGCAACTCTGCAGTCACATGTCTCTGCCTGAGTTGTGAATGACAAACAAAACTACCTCCGAGTGTGACAATTTAATCAAACAAGGAATTATTTAAGCATTTAATCTAACCTGGATAGAGCAAGCAAGAGCATACGCATTGTTTGCCAAAACTGTCAAAGCAAGGCTACCAAGAAATAAAACAATGGAGTTAAAAGACGTCTCATTACTCATGGTTAAACGGATCATTCCACTCCAAATCACCTGGAACTAAATACGCTCATGTGTGGACATACTCCTGCCTTTGGCATCATCCCCCGCCACATCTCCACAGATCAGATTTGGACTTCACTGCCGTCTTTGATGTTTCTGACATGGGTCCACCAGACACTTGTGGAAACCCCTACGGTCGGCCACACCCACCGCTGGGCATCCATAATGGATTGTCATGAGTATATATTTTTGATGGATGGTCATTGCCCCGAGGTTCACGGAGAGAAAAATGACTGTCTGAGCTTTTCCTAAGGTGCACGTCCACTGCGTTGGGGGAGGAGATCATGTTTCAGACACTTGATTCGACCTCATGCAAACTGCACTAAGCTGAGGAGGGGGTGGCATGCATATGTTGCGGTATGTGTCTGCAGACGTTTATGGTCACGCACTGTACGAATAAGCGCGCAAACAAACATGTGGTGTGTGTCCAAGCAGCGGTAATGCGTCTGGGCCTGATTCTGCAGTACTGGTGGCGTCCTACATTAGGGGTGGAGGTGATTAGCCTTCGAGAGTGGCTGGAGAGAGGAAAGAAGAGCGAGACTAATGCTGTTAGGGTGAAGCCTCAACTGGGGGGTGGGGTCTGAGTAAAGTGCCTTCCCATTCCTCTGCTGAGTGTTTCAGAGGAAGAGAGAGAGAGAAAAAGAAGAAACTCAGTGTGTTTGAGGCTGACTGAAGCATGCATTAGGATGACCAGCCCAACAACTGTTCTGTGTATAAATAAGTGATGAATGTCAATCAAACGAGGACGAGGACTGTTTAGTTCAGCTCACAGTCCAGTTCATCTTTTTACACTGACCACAGCACAAACAAATGAAAAGAACACTTGACTGATAACTCGTTGTTAGTAGGACCAAAAAAAAAACTTAATATTGTCTTTTATTCGCAGTGGTTCCCAGCTTAATGTTCTGGACAACAGTTATCAGAGTCAAATAGACACTTGTTTCTGCAGGGGAAAGGAGAAAAGGGGTCTGTTTTGGCAGGCAGATAGTGGGATGCCCCGTGGGGCCCTACTCTGTGGTTCCATCCTTCAAATGTTTTCTTTCTCTTCCCCTCTAAGGTCCCACCATATAACTCTCCCAGTACATGTGAGACTGGAGCTCTGCTTCTTAGGTCTCCTCTGATTGGGCAGTAAGCCCATTGGCATCCCCCTCGGTACCCTGTGTGGGTGGATTGTCCCATTGGTGCCCGCTAAGACAAGGCCTCTGTTGTGGTCGTTGAGGGAGGCATGAAAAATGCAGTGGACCCATTACTCGGCTCCCAAGCCTTGTCCGTGGGCCCCGTGCTCACAGCAGAGATTTGGCTGCGACAGAGCTTAACTATTAAGATAGATGAGGACTGCGCTGGTTCAGATCTGTCTAAAACAAGTTGTTTTTGTTGTTATGTTAGAGAACTAGCCTTTATTCTGCTTTGGGGAATAATGCTTTAAGATGCTCTAATAAAATACTCATCAAGACTTAATTCCGTCTCTCTGCCCTTCAGTTTTTAGCCTCTAAAAGTCCCGACACATAAATCCCCTCACGATGAGCGTCTGTGCTCTTCTCCCAGGCCCTTTGTCATTCTCTCTGACTCTGTCCTTCTTGTCCTCACCTCCCAGCCCTCTATGTGGGACTGCAGCTGTTCGAGAGCCTCCAACTTCTCCATCTGTCTCTTGGCCTCATTGATGTTGGAGCAGACAGCCTTCATGGCCTGCAGAGCCTCCTCCACCGCTGGATAGTCTGCATGCTTCTTAGGAGTCCTCTTCAGCAGCTCCTGTGTTGTGGAAAGAGGGAATTCAAAACATAAACTGCAGAATTTCCACAAGCAGGCGCATAAAAAAAAACAGGCAGTCTTAGTCGGAGGTAAATCTGTGACCTTTAACTGTTTGAAACCTGCCACCTCCAGTACTGAATACCTGTCTGGCCTAACAGTAAATGAGTCATTGGCATCAACACAGACACATTATGTTCTGCTCTGTATCCATGAAGTTTCTGATGTTGCCCAACACGCTACATAGTTTGGTTTTATATTGTCTGAGCACGTTGTGATACGGCAAACAGGGCTGGAGTTGCACAGTACCTTCAGCAGCAGAGGGTACTTGCAGATCCTCTGAATGGGAGTTAAGAGGTAGCCCTCCAGGGGAATATCCGTGCTTTTCTTCCCTCCAAGTAGCATACAGTGCTTAAGAAGACAAGAAAACAAACAGTATTAGAAACCACTGTAGACACAGATACATACATTTGTTTAAAAGGCAGGACTATTCATTATGTGTTCAGACAGAAAGAAGGGGGCTGCTCTTTGCAGATGACGTTGTTTTGTTGTTTTCATCCAGCCATGACCTCAAGTGGGCACTAGAGCGGTCTGCAGCTAAGTGTAAG